AAAAACCCCGCAACTTCGCTGTGGATGGAAGTCTATTTTTAGAATTCCTGGTTTTCTCTTGGCGTCACCCATATATTAATGAAGACAATTGAATATTAGTATTTTTAACGCAACAAAATTTATGTTAGGGTTATAGCTGTAATTGAAATAGAGGCTCATATTAAGTCAAAATTTATGAAGAATTTTATTTTTTTTCGATAATATGTTTAGACGATATGCGCAGGTTTTTAAATCCGGTGTTTCTTTAACGATCCTATTAAGAGTTTATTGTAAAAAAAATATCGAGAGTAGTAATAAAGTATTAAATAATGGGGAAATGGAAATCTGGAATTGACTCAGTTGATCGATTAAAAATGGACTTTACGGATGACAAAAACTTAGTTTGAGGCAATTCAGGTAATAATTTTAAAATTTAGAATCGATTTAATAAATTGAAGGATCAAAAATGTTTAGTTTGAGATGATTCAGGTTTAATGATGAAGAATTTAAAAGTTGGAATCAATTTTTATGGAAGTTAAAATCATAGCATGAGGCATTTCAGGTTTAATGGTGATGAATTCGAAATTTGTATTTTCTTCTTATGGATGTTAAAAATTATAGAGTGAGACAGTTCAGGTTTCAACTTGATATATATTATACGATCACGAATTTAGATATCTTAATTCGTAATTGCGAAATACATAATTTAATTACGGATGACAAAAAATCTAGTTTGAGACAATTCAGGTATAAAATTTGAAATTTAGAATCGATTCAAGTTGAAGGATAAAGAATGTTTAGTTTGAGGCAATTCAGGTTTAATAATGAAGAATTCGAAAGTTGGATTCGATTTTTATGGAAGTTAAAAAATTATAGTGTAAGATAATTCAGGTTTAATGGCAATGAATTTGAAATTTGGATTCTATTTTTACGGGAGTTAAAAATTATAGCGTGAAACAGTTCAGGTTTAAACTTGATATATATCACACGATCATGAATTTAGATATTTCAATTCGTAATTCGAAATATCAATTATTTGATAATTTAATTACGGCTTAGTTTGAGACAATTCAGGTAAAATTTTGAAATTTAGAATCGATTCAAATTGAAGGATAAAGAATGTTTAGTCTGAGGCAATTCAGGTTTAATAATGAAGAATTTGAAAGTTGGATTCGATCTTTATGGAAGTTAAAAGATTATAGCGTGAGGTAACTCAGGTTTAATGGCGATGAATTTGAAATTTGGATTCTATTTTTATCATGGATGTTAAAAAATTATAGCGTGAGGCAATTCAAGTTTAAACTTGATGTATAAGATATCTCAATTTGTAATTGCGAATCACTATTCATTTGATAATTTAACTTACCGTATTTTCGCGTAATAACGCCCATGAGCGTTATTTCGAATTTTGGCCCGAATTAAGCTTAATTTAGGCCAAAATTTGAAATTACACCCCTGCGCGTTATTACGCGAAAATACGGTAAGGTAATTTTCCTTTTAAAATTTTTGAACGGGTTTAGAAGTTTTAATTAAATAAGGACAGCATCGCACTATCGCAGCGAAAAATCACATTATAAATTAACATAATAAATAATATATTACAAGTAATAATATTTCAGTCCGGTGATCAAAGATAGATTTAGAAGTGATCATCAAAGTATCTTTCTTCTTTTGTTCGTTTTAGTCTTTGACGATCATTGATTATCATGTTATCAAACCGGTAAAAATTTCGACAAAATAAAATAAAAAAATTGGTGAATATTAAGAAAGCAGGTTAATAAACCCAGCGAAGAAAGCTTGTAAAGAGTTCTAAAGGCCAAATAGCACACAAGATCAGTCTTTTATTTCTTAAAATTTTTACGCAGAGCATCAACATCAACATCATGATCAAGATCAATAGTATATTATACGAAACGCAACTAATTTCGTGACACGTTGAGTTTCTCATTTTGTAACTTCGTATAACAGGATCTGCCAAATTTGCCCAAAAGAACATAAGTATAATCGAGAAAAGCGCACAAAAATCTAAAAAGATACAAATCAAGTTGCACAAATTTGAAACCATTCTTTTCTTGCGTTAAAAAACACAAGTGCGCCATAATACCCACCTGCGTCACAATACCCACCTTCACCTTATGCAAAATTTTATTTTGATTTCAAATTTAGAAATTGACGCACATCTAGTATCACAGCATATAAATTGATTTATTATATTAATAAACAAGATCTACGAATAAATGATTTTACTTCTCTTTCAATTAATAATATTTTTTTTTTCACTAAAATTTACGAAAAGAAGTCGTAAAAATTAAACAATTTTTCTATTTAAAGTATGGGCGACTATGAAGAGTCCCATGTATCCAATGATAGGTAATTATTTCGAAATGAAGCTTTTTTAATAAGATAACATTTTGTTGTAAAAATTCTCAAAAAAATACTATGAATAGTGACGATCTTGTGACCGAAGATCAATTGAATCATCAAAAAAATCAATTGAATAAAAAGAATGGTAGGAAAAGTAATAAAGACTACGTAGAAGCTCAATTAAAAGCTTATATTTCAAAACTAAAATCGACTAAACAATATGATGATGTTGAGCCAATTTCAATTGATACGGCAGAATGGTCAACTTATATTCGTTCAAGAAAAGAATTTTCAGACAAACTGAAAAGTGACGCAGAATTTGCTTACGTGGGGGCGTTATTTAGTCATGTATATAAAGTGATGGAAGTGGCAAATACTAATAACAACGCATTATATACTGACAAATTAAGGAAGTCATGGATCAAGGCAAATCTTGAAGATTCAATTGTTGAAACTTCAATTACTCAAATGAATCGAGTTAAACAGGCGTATGATCATATTCTTTACTTAATATCGAAATTCGATGACCAAAAAATTCCGATGACCAAATGGAATCCTTTATTAAACAAGGTTGGCATTACCTTTCGATTTCTATATGATTCTAATTCCCTGAGAAGAAAAAAAAATTGTACACTCTATGATGAATTTATTAATCAATTTATTAATGAATGTAAGAGATGATAAAGTTTATTACTGAGTATTTTTTTAAAAAAATCCCCTTTAAAATTTACTTATATTAGGCTATACAAATTTAAATAATTGTTTCTCATAATCCGGCCGGGTCAAATTTTGAAAACTTTAGAAGAAAATTTTTTTTATATGTTTTAATAGCTGGGTGGGGCTTCAAAAAAATTTTTTTATATAAATTTAAAAAAAAAGCCGGCCGGCCGGCCTGGTCAATTTTATATAAAATTTATGTTATGAGAAACAGAAAATTAATTTTTGTATGGCCTTATATGGTTTACTTAGGAAAGATTTTTATGAGCTATTAAAACGTTCGATAAGGTAATTTTTTTTAAAAAAAATTCGATAGTCTATTTTAAATTTAATTCAATTTTTGTTCTTCAATTTTGTAAAAAAATTATCATTCTTTTCAAAATTAAATCTGGAGTATAAAAAATTTTATGTTCAAATTGTTTTGAGTTCACATTATTTGTGAAATTATTACGAATCTAATTAGATGATGTGCCCACGCGCGAGATGTTGATATCATCCTCGCGCGAATTAATTATTTTCGCGCGAGATAAATTATTTCAACTTTGGAATAGAGTTTGGAACCGGTTTTATTTTTCATATGTTAAACCCGATTTTTACATACATATAAAAAATAAAACCGATTCCAAACTCTATTTTGGAAAACCACACCAATCGGGGATTCGGTTTATTCATCTTGGCTAATTTTTTTTGTACCCAAAATAAAAAACTACCCCTAGATCGCCACCAAAATTTTCACCGGCACGTGATTTTAGTGTGGCGCAACCAATTATATTCCAAGATCAGGTGTAACGTAACACGAGCAGAAAATTTCAAAACAAACGGTCGTTTTGTCAAAAATCGCTTATTTCTCGAAAAACTGTGTATGAAACCACCTTTTGTGTTCTAACAAAAAATTTCCTTGAGCGATTTTGCTATATGTTAACTTAATTTCTAACCTTAATATAAGCTCTAACCAAGCATAAATGAACTTTAATTTTTTTTCGATGTGGTACACATGATCACGTGCCGGTGAAAATTTTGGTGGCGATCTAGGGGAAGATAAAAAAAATTTAAAGGATATTGACGAAGGAGCCAGCATGTAGAATAGATTTTCCGATCACATAATGATCAACAAAATCTCATCATAGCACTTAAAGTTTCGTTTAAGTTAGGTTAGTATTAAGGTTTGGATTCAAGTTTAGTAAAGTTATTAGTAAAATCGGTTAAAGAAAATTTTTAATTAGAGTACAAAAAGCAATTTCTTAGTTGAATTTTTTGAGATAATGGCTAATTTTTTGAAATCAATGTTGTTTATATTAGTAGGTTAGTGATGTTCAAAAAATTTTACTATTTTGTATAACCTGGCCTCTGAACCCAATTAATTAATTATGCACAAAAATTACCAAATTTTAGTGAATTTTACTAATAAATCTGCTAACCGATAAGCTAAGTAAAGTTGCTTAGATTATAATTTTGTATATAATTAGCTAGCTTGCATTATACTTGTTTTAGCACTTCATAGATCCAATTCAAAATCCAAATTCAAATCATCTAATTAAGGTTTAGAAGCTTGGATTATACGAAATGATAAAATTTTTTAGACATTACTAACCTACTAGTTTACATATTACTCCTGATTAGAGGCTTGCATGGGCCAGGCCAAAATTTGAAGATTTTAAAAACCTTTCAAAATTGCAGGCCTGGTGTATCAAGAACATAGTAAATTGTGGGCTGGCAAAAGTACAAATTTCTAGGCCTGTGCAGGTCCCTACTTCTGATCATGTTATGTTATACTTTTCATTGGCTAATAATCATGTGATTAGAAAATCTATTCTAATCTTTTTCAGTTGGATGATCTATAGACAGTGTATAGGGATAGTGCAATTACATAATATAATTAAATTATGCAATAAGTGAATCTGTGCCTGGTTATGCATGTTGCCGATCATTATGTAAAATTCTTTAAAGTTCATTAATGTTAAGGTTAGCGTTTCGTATAAAGTTAAAAGCTAAGTGGTTATATAGTA